CATGCTGCCAACCTTGATGGCATCCACAATAAGAGAGGCAAGGTGCGCCAGCGACGGGCCAGAGAGGTGTGGAACCTGTGACATGGATGGACAATGTGTAAAAGTTTCGTTCAGAGCGTATGGATTTTGTCTGTTTATGCATTTTCAAATTCACATCCATTCTTTTCCTTTTGGGAATTTAAACTTGGAAATTTCCAGATATAATTGCATTTCCATCAACTGTAACACTGTCTATTTCCATGTAATACTGTGGGGTCAGTGTGGTGCTGGGAAAGACCCAGATCTGACCAGCCAGCTTACCTCCAGCATAAGGAGCCCGATAATGTCAGACACCACTTCTGCAGAAATGTCTCCAGATTCACAGAGCGGGATGCAGTGCTTGTAAACCAGCAGTCTACGCTCCATACCCACCTGGCTGCTTATTGGGGAGCCTGACAATACAAACACTGCTCACTGGTGGTGCAGTTGGGAAGCAGTGATGGTTGAAAACGGGTTCATTCAAACTGTTACCTTTGAAAATGGCTTTGATCACTGGTCCTATGCTCTTTCCTTTCAAGGCGGACTGTGTGATCATTGCGGTCAGCTAAGGGGAGATTCCATAAGCAGTGAGAACTGACTGTCTATGTAAATATACAGTAACTCTGTAGACATTCAGCTGCTTCTGTTATAGACTAACTGGAAGCCAACAAGACACTCAGTAACACATCATTAAGACGAATTTCTGTCACCATCTTACTTTGTCATCTGCCAAAGTTGAAAGATAGTCCTGGAGCTCTTGTGATGCCTCTCCTCTTAAGAGGGAGACTAGCTTCTCAATCGCAGCCTTCATTTCTGATGACTTCTGCGAATCAGTCCGAAAAGGGCAGATAGGGCGAAGGGCCGCGCACAAAGGCCGCACACTGGCTGTTCGGCTGCGGTCGGAAGGACGTGGAGTACTTAAAAAGGTCTGAAACAGTTATGAATTTTTAATGTCAGGACTTTGGGGGCAATGTCTCCAGATGCTTTTTGTTCAAAACGACCGGGACGTCTAGCACTTTGGCTGTCATAGTATACAGTCCCGCTAAAGTATAAACTATCCCACAAAAAACACATATACCACTTAAACGTAAAACGACACCATTCTGTCAGAAACCTTCAGTCATAAAACCCGTCAGGTGGATAGTAGCAGAAATCCGCCAAACGTGACACAAAAACGTGCCAGTGACACCGCTTATTGCTGCCTTTCATTCACGCAGGAATCCCCCGCATTTCATGTCCGTGAGGATTTCATTACCCAGATCCGGCGGGCTGGGTCTTACCTTTATCACCGTGCGAATTTCTGCAGCTTAATCCATACACGTCCACCATCGGCAAGCTAAACAAAATCAAGCCGTCCCGCCAGTACACGCAGCGGTTAGAAAACACACCCCTTCCTGTCGGACACCGCGGAAGAGGCGGTCTCCGAGCGCGGATCCGGAGTCGCTCTCTGAGCGCGGATACGGAGGCGGTCTCCAAGCTCAGATACGGGGAGCTCTTTGATAGTGACTCTCTCTAATCAAACATGATGCAGATCCACATAGATAACTAGCCTTATCAATCAGATATATATTTAAAACTGCAATAAAAAATATTGCTTGCCACAAATGTCTTTATACCACCCAGAACAGTTTATTCATGACCAATCAGGCTTGCAACAGTCAATCACATTGCCTTCTCCTACCAAGATTGAGGTCATTCTTGGTAGCGACAGCCAATCATGTTTCTTTCTCCTACCAAGATATAAAGAGGATGGCCCAGATGCCTCTCCATACAGCTCTGTGACAGCCCAGATGCTTACCAAGATTTGACCAATGGATGTGCCCTATCGTAAAGACCAATCAGAGAGAAGTTAAGATACCTCATGGAATACCAGCAAATAATTTAAAGATGGTTAAAGGTAATTTTAATATCTATTCTGTGAGCTACAACTACCTGGAAAAAAATGGCATTTTAATTTTGCTAAATGGCTAAATCAGGGGTGGCCAATCTTATCAGCAAAGGGCCGGTATGCAGGTTTTTGGGATAACCTGTTGGTCAGCTGTTCAAACCCAGGTGTGAGGACTCTTCAGGCAATCAGTCCTCTAATTAGTAATCTAATTAAGGAGTTGCAGCGAAAACCCGCATACACACCGGCCCTTTGTGGATATGATTGGCCACCCCTGGACTAAATGATCGATCTATGAATAGAGAGGTTTTATAATAACGTTTTGTCTTAGAGCTCTTCCCCAGTAAAACGTATCTTAATAACGCAACATGAGATATCATATTTGTTGTATTTGCAGTATAGGTGTGTTTCGTTATACAGTAGACATGTTAAACATTCAGACTCAAATTGCTAAATAATTTGAAGGTAATAACAGGTGAATAATCAAACAAGTGTTACGAGTAAAGCCAAAGATTTTTGTCCAAGATGAACCAGGTAATTTATATGCTTATTCACCAAGCTAGACTGATAACATATTGACAATGGTTTTACAAAATTTTGTCATTATTACATAAACTCTTTTTCATAAACTCTTCTGCTTTTACTTCATATAAGTATGAACATTTAAGGAACTGAAATTGATCAGTATGGATCAGTATGTTCATTGTATGATGAAATCCAGAAGAAATTTAAAAATTTGTTTTTCCAACCTTACAAGTCCAAAATTCCATTCAAGAAGACGTTCACAGCCTTGCTGTGACATGCGAGGAGTCAGACCACGTTTTTTCTCTCTGGTAGGTGCTTGATGACGCCAACCAGGAACTCACAGTGTACTCCATGTTCCATGAGGTCAGTATCAACAAGGGGTGCTTTAGGGCCACATAGAACATTGCAGCACCAGGGATGGAATCAACCAATAGGAACACTGTTGTGAGTAGGTGAGCTAATTGTCCCCCATTGTTCTGATTCTTATGCCTTTAGTTGATCTATAATGTTTCTGTTCTTTGTCAGATGCCTTGCTGGAGCACACCGCCCTGCACAGTGGCCAGACTGTAACGTGATTGTGGAAGAGCTGTTTGTGAAGCTATGTCTAGAGTTTCCAAACCCAAAGCACGTTAATGCTACCAGACTGTCCAAGTGGACCCTCATCAAGCACATCAGGGATTAAGCAATGCACATGTAATGCAGGAGACCATCATCGAACTGCCAGAAGTCAAGCTTTTTGCATCACAAATAGCTGCAAATAATATTGAATTGTTGGTGTGAGCTGCCTTAAATATTTTCATGTGTATGTACTGCAGACATACTTGGGCACAGGAGCATGTTATTCTTCACCATGGAGTGTGATGTTCCCCATCAGGGTATACATCCTCCAGAGTTACCAGTGTCCGTCCTGTAGGGCAGCACTCAACATCTCAGAAAAACAGTCCCACCCCTGCCCCCACAGACGAGCCTCATGTCTTTGTCTTTCCTCCAAACACTGATGGCCTTGCAAAGACAAAAAGATGACTGCTCATCACCTCACCTGTGATTCCACAGCATAATCTCCATGCAGCTAGCCAAGGATTTACAGGCCCAGGCCTAGCGCCCTGTGCAGCTAGCCAAGGATTTACAAGCCCAGGCCTAGCGCCCCGTGCAGCTAGCCAAGGATTTACAGGCCCAGGCCTAGTGCCCCTTCCTGCATGCCTCCCAGTCAATCATCCCAGTATTCCTGTCCTGTTATTCTTCTTCTTTCCTCCTGTGAGTGGAAACTCTGCGACAGCTGGACCATCTCAGGCCTCATCAGTACTGGATTTGCCTTACACAATACAACTCCACAGGAGGAAGTTGCATAGGGAGCGGGCAGGCATACAGACTCGCAGATACATATGAAAGAGTGATGTCATCCTGTGCTGAATGTGCAGCAAAGAGAGGATATGGGGATAAAAAAGAAAATCATGAAAAACAATGGCATTCACACCCACACATGTACATGGGCACATATGCATGCACACACACGCACGCATGCAAACACGCGCATGCACACATATGCACGTATGCAAACACGCGCATGCACACATACGCATGGACACACGCATGCACGCACACATGTACACGAGCACATATGCATGCACACACGGGCACACACTCATATGCATGGACACACATGCATACACAATTATACCGTTTACTTTTCTGGTGTTTGTAGTTTATCTATCTATCTATCTATCTATCTATCTATCTATCTATCTATCTATCTATCTGTCTGTCTATTTTTTTTAATTGTTTTTATTGCTATGTAATTCTGCATTCTTATATTTGTTGGCATATTTTATTCATTTTCTCATAATATATAACACTTATTGATATATACATATATACAATACAATATATTGATGTAATACAATAATACATTCTCCATATTAAAATAAAAACATCAAAAACATTGAGACACAGATACACTCGCACAATTTCAGTTTAGTTTTTCCAGTGTTTGCAGTTTTATTTGTTAAAATTTAAATATTTCTAGTTATATCTGCATTCTAATATATATATTTATTTACGTGTCTATTAATTACTTGACTTGACTTGTTATGTGAGGAAATAAACTGATATTTTAAAAAGAACTGTAAGGTAACTAATTTCTTTTAATATTTTATTCCAATTCAGCGGTCAAAGGATTAGATCTCGCTTCTTTATTAGCGCAAGTTCACGTTTCTGTGTATTCATGGAAGCGCAACCGAAACATACACACGTCTGACAACCGATTAGAAAATTCTAGGTTCGACTCCTGGCTAGCTCGAAACCCTTTTTGTGGAACATTATTTCTTTCATGAATAGAAAAAATATAAATTGCCCTACCACTACAAGCAAAAGTTTCATTAATACGAGCCTTTATGTTTTATCAAGAGGATTATTTTTTTAATCGGCAGTGCACGACGGCAGCCAGGTTGTTCGGTTATCTGTTTTCACATTTTTGGACGTGACCCCCTGGTACATTTTAACTGCCTTAATTGCATAAGACATTATTAAGCCTTCCCGTGCCGGCGGGATTAGTCATCAACCCCCGGTTGTTTCGCATTCATAGAAGCGGACAGTCACGTCAGCTAGATCGCTCCCCGTGAGCACCTCCCCGTAGGCGCTGACGTACGCGGATGACGGCTGCGCCTTGGGTCTACACCCGGGCACGGAAAGGGCAAGAGCTATAATCGGGGCTGTAGTCCGACTTAAAGCGGTTGCAATGATGTAATATTGCCCCTTTGATGACTACGGATGGCGGCGTGTGCCAGGCTCTGCGGAGTGGGACAGTCGCGGAGGTGCAGGCGGCGACAGCGGCACAGTCAACAGGATCAGGACAGCGATTCTGATATGGACGAAGAAGAAGAAGAACGGATCGTGTGCAATACGCAGGCGGAGGCTGCCGCTGGCCATCCGGACACACGGCTTTCCGCATCGGGGCCTGCTGTTGTAGGTGACTTGGGCACCGTCACCGCTGGTGCGAACGCCAACAGACACAGCGTTGGTAGCAGCGGCTCCGGCGAGCAGCCTAATTCGCAGTCCTTGGTGGAGCTTCCGCCTGAGCTTCTTGTGGAGATCTTCGGCTTGCTCCCCGGCACGGCGTTGCCCAACTTGGCACTAGTTTGCAAGAAATTCAGGCAGATCCTTAATACTGAAACTATCTGGAGACGGCGATGCATAGAAGGTAAACCACATAGCTGACATTAGTCACCGATCACTGTGATTGCCAACATCAGCACTGTCCGCCCCTCGTCCAGCCTTCGGCGTAGTGTTGGTTCTGGGGAGCTGTCAGGGTGCAGCACCAAGCCGGCGGACAGACTTTCGCAATAACGCCGGTGACAGCCTGCGCCAACGCGATCTTTCAAATACTGGCGAGGAATCGTCGGCGCATTTAAAAGCATTTTTGTCACACAGTTAATGGAGGTTTCTGGAAATTGATCCTAGATTAAGCTAAACGGATTCGCAACGCCGTATTAAAACGGTTAACTGGAGAATAACATTTAGATAAACCATGACTGGAGTAATTTTCCCTTAAATGCAAAGCTTATCTGTAAAAAGGCCCTTTGGCATATAGGGGGCACATGTAGAAAGGTTCTTTTGGTAACAGTTGTCACGTACGGCACAGTCTGCAATGATTCAGAGTATATTCTTTAATGCAGATGACATTATGGTATGATATCACATCAAATGTCTCGCTGTTCGCAGACTGTTCCTGCTGCAACAATTTGAAACAGTTCTCCTCTGACGTTGATAGTGCATTAGGCTGATTATAAAATGCAAATGTTGTCCAAGGGAGAAAAGTTCGATGTGTGCCTTTGTGGGGCAGGAGAATCGCGCAATAGTGGTCTTTAGACGCAAAAATGTTCAGCTCAGACCGTCATGCTCCTTCCTTGCTAAGTCGAGGCTTCTTGGCTTTCACCACTTCATTTGCTGCGGCTGAATTAACTGCCAGGGAAGATTCAAAACTGCAAATTTAATAACACTCTTCCGGTTGAAATTAAGGGGGTGTTTAACTTTGGAAATGTCCTATAATACCTCCTAATTAATTTTGTTCATTGACAGTTGCTTGTCAATTTTATTGTCACTGCTGCCGTGTTCATTTAGAGTATAAAGTCGTTAATGTATTGTGTTTCTTCAGTGTCATATAAACACATATAAAGATATGCTGTATGAGAGAATGCACGTAGTGCAATTCTATTTAAAGTAAGATCTTAGTAAACAGGGTTAATTGTTTGTCTAATTATAAAAATCTTTGGACTTCTTTGACTCAAGCACATTTGGATAACAGTGCAATTAAACGCATAACATTTGTGATATCCATTTAATAATTAACCTACAGTAATTAGGATCTGGTCCTCTGCCTGATTTTCAACTTTCCTGGTAAAGGTGTGTCAGAGGCATGTCGAGAAAGATCTCACCTCCTTCCTCTCTCGCAGAATTTGGCTTGAAGGGGGACCCGTGCATGATGGAGCAAGTGGGCGTGTCCAGTTGGGAGCTGTACACTAGACGTGAGTACCATGTCAGCATCGGCCTGCTCAGGCGCGTCATCGTCAGTGCAAACACCTCCTCCTTTGTTCTTTTTACTGTCATCTTAAAGCCCTGCAGTGGATTGCACCAGCTAAGCGTAAGTTCTATCGTAAGGTTGGGTGTAAAGTGTTCCTTAAATCATACGCTGAATCTATTTGCGTCGTGCAACCGATTTCTTTAGTAGTTCGTAATCTCGAACGTAGGTGCAGGTTACGTCCACCATAGACTACGATAGAACTTATGCTTAGCTGGCGTAACCGCTGATGTGATCCTCGCTCCAGCCCTTATGGCGGGACGATCATCGTTTGCACCCATATGTCTGCGTTCTTGGTGCATTACCTGCCCTGCGGTCCCGCTTTGTTCCTCATGTACTGTACTTGTCCAGGTGTCCATCCTTCAATGGCATCCAGACGCTATGTTAAAGTGCTTCCCGATTGCGAGCGAACAGACTATCGGAAATTATACACGCGCAGTACGTACGCACGCGCTTGGAAAGACGGCACCCTCTCGAATTTTTGCAGCATGTAAAATGAGACGTTCACTTATCAAACGCCGCACTGTAACACACTTAAACTGTATGTTGTGCACAGGTGTGGCTGTAACATGTTCACTTCACTATTTGTGGCACATATGCACGGCATTAACATGTAGAGTGATAGCTGCACGTGCGTATGCGTGGTGTTGAACACACGTAGCACTTGCATATACTTGCATACACTTGCATCTGCAATGTGCGATCCACTCAGAACAGCAGCCTATGAAGTTGTCACCTCAGGGGGAAAAGAGAAAACTAATTTGAATGTTGTACTTTTGCTGCACCAAAGATGATTCAGACTGCTGAGAGCCCTGCATTCTGCTGGTTCCAACCCATTTTCCTGGATTTATTGGTTCAATTAGCAGTTAATTAAATGTTCTATTTATAACTGAGCCTTCCTCCAAATTATTGAGGTAAGAGTACCAGGTTTACTTGGAATGAGAATAGTGCCTGTAGCAGTGAGAACCTTATTTAGAGAAATAATCCAAGGTAATAATGCACTTACGGTGCTATTTGGGCGATTATGGAAACCACACTGCGTCTAATGCTCTGTCGTGAAACTCAGGCCCCTGAGCTCCCTAGAGGCACATTGTTATGCTACAGTAATGCCATAAAGTGCCAGCAGAGGATGCCTCCAGGATCCAGTCTGGGTGCGTCTTTCCCAGTGCTGCTCCGGACCCTGCTGGTGACTCCCAGGCCGGGGGCTGTCCTGCCCCCCTTGTCCGCTTATGTGCCAGGAGGGAACATTCAGAGCAGCTCTTGTATTTCCCATTTCTTTAATGTCATTGCATTCAGGATGATATTCTAGCCATTAAACTCTACTCCATTCTCAGCACTCTGGATCATTCAACCTCCTGCCTGCGTTGAAGGGGGGGGGGGGGGGGTTGATCTGTGTACATGTTAATTATCATATCATTTAAGTCTATTTTGGTTAAAATGATATAAAGAGCTGTATTCAGGATAGGTGTCTTATATTCTTGGGGGAGAATGAAATCTGTGATTTATTAGTGGAGTAATTGGGAGGACTGGTTTGAGCAGAGCTCTGTGAAGACGTCCCTGTGTGTGTCAGGCTGGACACTGATTTTGTTTATTTCAGTACTGCACCCATACAGACACGTGCTGGGCCTGTGGCAGCCAGACATCGGGCCCTACGGGGGGCTTCTCAACGTGGTGGTACGTAGCTCCCCTCTCCCCTTTCACTCGCACATGCGCGCATGAGAGCCCACAGAACGTTCTGGCACATTTCCGCTAGTCCTCATGATGTGCACAACTGATCTTTTCCAATTTACCGTGTCGGAGTCGCCGCGCTCTCCCCTGGAGGGGGGGGGGGAGAGGGTGAGCTGGCAGATAAAGATGACAGACCAGGAAGGACTAAAAAAGACGTGAAGCTGGGGAGCTAACTGTGGCCCCCGTTTCTCTCAGGTGGACGGCCTGTTCATCATTGGCTGGATGTACCTGCCTCCGCATGACCCCCGCGTGGAGGACCCCATGCGGCGACGCCCACTCTTCCGCATCCGCATGCTGGGGGAAGACAAGGCGGCCGTGGAGTGCATGTACGGACACCGAGGCCCTCACAGGGGAGACATACAGGTGAGGCGCCGGCGGAGAGCCCCTCCATCAAAGGTGGGGGGCCGAACACATCCTTCGCTCAAAGACCTCGGGATGACATAAAAGCAGCCAGCTGTCCTGCAGTAGCAGCGTACCATGGCTAAAGAAGGAAGCGTCCGAGATCCAGCGTGGTGGAGGTGGTTATTCTATGGCAGAAGGCTCCACAACAGCTTACAGTGCATACCACTTCAGAAGATATGACGCGCTCTGCGTACCATCGTTATGACTGATGTCATAAAAGGAGATTCCTCGATGTACCACTAGAGGGAGCTTGTGTACCAGCAGTATACATACTATAGTTTTGAGAATTGCTGTTCTAGGAGGGTTGTCATGGCACAAATGGGTAAGACCCACATTGCCTCGACCCCCGTTTCTGCTACCTTGACCCCAGTGTTGAAGACCGTATGCCGAGATGGCCACACCAACAAATGAAACGTGAGGAATTCAGCACATGGCTAGATTGGCACCTAGTCCTTGGACTTTAAGCAAAGGATGCTGGGAAGCTCTGGTGTTTGCAGGTCGCTGCCAGGAGAGCTGACTGTGACATTTCCTCCCTGCAGACAGTGAAGAAGGATGAGTTCTCCACCAAGTGCAACCAGACAGACCACCATCGCATGCCGGGGGGGCGCCAGGAGGTATGAATGAGTGTGGCAGACTGAGACGCTCACTGGTCACTAATGGGTGTGCAGACCCACAGCCAATTTCCTGACTTTTGTCAGGAACCGGAACTTGAATTTAGTAAAGGTAGCAGTCAGTTAGAAATTTTGCAAAAATACTAAACATGAATGCAGTGAGAATGAGTTTGCGTGTAACCTGCAGTATGTGAATTGCCTTGTTGATCTGAATAGCTGTATATATGTCTGTATGTCTTTAGGAGTTTCGCACTTGGCTGGAGGAGGAGTGGGGGCGTACGCTGGAGGACATCTTCCATGAGCACATGCAGGAGCTCATCCTCATGAAGTTCATCTACACCAGCCAATACGAGTAGGTTTATGGCATTACATCACTGGTGGCAGCTAATGGCAGTGCCTCTGACCGGACTTCTCTTTGCACCACATGCTGTATGACTGTATGAACCCAGAGTACGGGATCCCTTGCCAACCAGCTTCCCGACTCACATTTAAATTCTTATTGCTGTATTTTTATTTTTTTTTCCATGTTTCACATTTGAAAGTGATTGTTACCAGGCCACTAAATGAAATGCAGCAAAACACCATAAGGTCATCATGTCTTGTGTGGGGCACATCATGGCTGTCTCAGTGCTGGCACCTCCATTCTGTCTGACAGCAACTGCCTAACGTACCGGCGAATCTACCTCCCGCCGCGGCAGCCCAGTGATCTCCTGCAGCCCGGCCTCTTCAAGGGCACCTACGGCAGCCACGGCCTGGAGATCGTCATGCTCAGCTTCCACGGTCCATGGGCCCGGGGAACCAAGCTCACCGTGAGTGTCGTCGTTGCGTGACAGACGCCTGCCTTTCAGCGGGGGGGTATTCTCTCCTCATCCCCTGTCACCTCCCTCAGGGTGACCCCAATGTGCCAGCTGGCCAGCTGACGCTGGATGTGGACCTGAGCCGTCCTGTGCACCTTCCCGACCTGGAGTCCCAGTGGAGCATGGATGAACTGTCCCGGCTGGTGTTGGCAGTCCACGAGCAGGTGCAGCGCGATGCTCCCTCTGACCCGTCCAGCCTGGATGTGGAACTCGGGGCCGGCGGCAAAGAAGGGCAGATGTCAGGTGCCTCGGCTCAGGGGTCAGAAGTCCCACCGGCTGGCGCGCCCCAAGAACGACAGAACTTCGTGCTGCCGCTTGGAGTCATGGCCCGTAATGAAGTGTACCCTCGAACCTGCAAGATGTGGTGAGCTACACTTTTTTCCTCCTGAATTTATTGATTAACTGAATGCTGATTGGCTGGGATGGCCTGATCAACCAATGGATGCTTCCCTGTATGTTGCAGTTTCTACGGCACAGGCCTGATCGCAGGACATGGCTTCACAAGTCCTGAGCGCACACCCGGCCTGTTCGTCCTGTTTGATGACGATCGCTTTGGCTTCATCTGGTTGGAGCTGAAGTCGTTCAGCCTCTATAGCCGCCTGACGGACAGCCTACCTTATGCACAGGCCCCTTCCATGGAACGCTTCGAAGACATGCTGCGCAGCATGCAGTCCTGGACTTCCTGACCTCTGGCCATATCCCTTCACCACACCCAAAGCATGCAGACTCATACCTCCATAAAAGCATGCAGACCCCCACTCATACCTGTCACCTCCCTGACAATAAGAAGACATCCGCTTATACATGTCACATGCCAGAGAGAATGCAGACCACTGCTCAATGCCTGTCACCTCCCTGACAGTTGGAAGACTTCCGCTCATACCTATCACCTCTATAACAGCATGCAGACCTCCACTCATACCTGTCACATCCATAACAGCATGCAGNCACAGAAGAGCGAGCGGATCAGCAGGGATCCTGCAGAAAAGAGCGAGCGGATCAGCAGGTTCCTGCACAGAAGAGCGAGCGGATCAGCAGGGATCGTCCACATGGGTGCAACAAACGTTACTCTCACCATCAGCCTCCACGAAGGACGAGCTCAGAAGTAACGAACATGCTGCTATGCAGATGGAGAAAGAGACTTGCGGTGCCATTTGGTCTGGAAATACGGGAAAACTTTGCTCGCCGTTGTGCACTATGCAAAGTGCCGTAACAGCTCGCTTTGGCGTAAACTTTGACCCAGAAGTGTCGTTGATCATTCCTTAGAGCCACTCCTTCACTCTTTGTCCGTATCCAATGCTAGATACTGAGCCACTCCTTCACTCTTTGTCCATATCCAATGCTAGATATTTAACCACTCCTTCACTCTTTGCTCAGGTTGGGCTGCCTTCCAGGGTAAACCCCAGCCTTGTGCCCTGTGCGCTAGTTCCATTGCCCTGCAATGGGCCGATCTGGCTGTACCCCAACTCCGTGTCTGGTGCTGCCTGAGACAGACTGCAGGCAGCCCCTCCCCTGTGACGCTGGCGAGTCTATGCGATAGACCGGTTGGTTGATGTATGGATGAAATTTTCCAGAAATACTCTTACATTTGTCAGCTTCTGCCAACCGAATTCTGGCCATGGGTTTCGTAACACTGACTAAAAAGTTTATATTCCCTCAACAATTACATGATGTACCCTAAAGTTAGATGATTTGTCCTACAGTATTGTACTGCACACAAAGCATGTTCATAGAAAATAAAGATAAAACTAACCTTAATTTGTGGGTAGAGGCAAGATCTATGTGCTGTTTTCTAACAGTTTAATCATATTTTGGTCATTGAAACAAAGCCTACATTGGACTACAGGAGCAAGGTTGTGCAGTGATTAAAAACATGAATGTTGTCGTTTGAAGGTTGTCAGCATTCATAGAAGTATCTTATCTGTATCTGAATATCCAGCTGTAAAACTGTAAGCCACACGATAAGCATTAGTTAACAAATAACAAGGTTCTTATTCCAGGATTAGGTAAATGATCTCAATAAGCTTGCTGTTTCAGCAAATGATAAAAAGACAAAAATGTAATTTAACAGCTTATTGGATAATAGCATGAATGCGACTGGTTTGTGTAAAAATATGTCATAAACATTTATTTATTTATGCATGCTTTTAAAATGTAAATGGATATAAACAATCTGAGCAAAATTTCTACAATTTGACATAAACAGCTGACTCTATGAACAATGTCATAACTTTACCAGTTATTTTAAAAAAGGTTTCTTTGTCTTTGATTTCTCTAGTTGTCTGACTTCTGCCTGCAGTTGTACAGAAAGCATACACTATTCCTTTCAGTCTTGGCCTTTTAGATGTGTATTCTTTTCTTCTGAGGGTAAGTTAATCAGTTTATGCTCTTATGCTAAAACCCCGAGTTCCTGTAAATCAGAACTAGATAAGATTTTCACAACTGAGCTATTAGTTAAGTTCTCCCCAAACAAGCTTGATGGGCCGAATGGCCTCCTCTGGTTTGTAAATTTCTTATGTTCTTATCACCCCGATTAAAGCAATTCCAAAGTTGTTTGACTGTTTTTCTGGGGTTTCTATTTTTTCATTTTTCTACCTGATGAATCATTCCATTTTTAGAAGAAAATTTCCAAAAGGGGTTTTCCGTCACCATTTCTGATTTTGATTAAAATTTCCATGTGAATTACCCTTCCAGAACTCAAAAATGTCTGTCTGTCTATCTATCTATCTATCTATCTATCTATCTATCTATCTATCTATCTATCTATCATTTGAGATGTACTGCCTAATTAAACAACAAAAACAAAAGGATAATTTAGAATGCTCATGTGGTGAGGCCTCTGCTTTTTAGTTCTTCCGTCTCTAAGTGCACTTTTTATGTGGGATACTGAATGTCTCATCAGACTAACTCTCAATT